GGGCGGGAGCCCGGACACCTGAGTTCTGTTCTATGCTTAGACACTGACTCACTGTGTGACCTTGGGGCAAGTCACTTAACCACTCCGTGCTCATTTTACCTCTCAGTAAAGTGAGTATAAGACTTACCCTACCTAGCTCACAATGGTCCATTGAAGCTTAAATCATTCTGAAAATTGCTTTGATACCTTTGATCGCTTTGATATCTGATCTCTTCAGATGAAAGTAACTAGGGAGATGTAAAGTTCCACTCACCTTCCCTCATCAACCAATCTTCCTTCCCCTTGCCCACTCTAGTCACTTTTGCTGCTCTTCTCCAAACCGGCTAACACCACGATTAAATTAATATTTGTAACACTTGATTTCTTATCACAAAACTGCTTCTCCTCCCCCACAACACTTACACTAATTGCTCTAAACAGAGCCTGCCTCTGAATTATAAAACACATGGTGGCCTCTTCAGTAACCTCCTTCACATGGCTTATTACAAAACGGTCTTTGTTCATGGACATGAGTCATGTAGCGCAAGAGTGAAAACTGTTCATGGTGTATTTGTGAAATCCCCAAACAATCGAGAAAGCTCCCATTACCAACAAAAAGTATCACAGGATGCGCATAGGCCAGATAAGTAGGTGGAGCCCTTCCAGAAATGACTCTCAGGATTAGGTGCACTTTATTAGAGACCTTTTCATGGCCTACTGCCTATGGTTTCTTAAAGTCCAAGCCTGTCAGGTGCTGAGTGTCCTTAACTCCCATTAAAACCAGTGGGAGGTGTGGACTTTTCAGCATCTTACAGGATCTGGTCCTTAAAGAATCAAACTCATACACTTTCCTCCATCTCTGTTATGTTCCCCCTCATGGGAATACCAGAAAACCAGGGGCTTTTCCTGGTTTGTTCTCGTGTGCCTCTGCTGTGCCCCCAAGCTTTTAGATAAACTAAATAGCTATCAAAGATGAACCCAAGCTTCAACATCCAGATCGCCATTGTACATACTCCCCTTAACCTCCCCCCCCGCAAAAAAAACCCAAAACCAACAGCTCAAGGATTTTCAGCTCTGCAGATTGGGGTACTCCATAACAGAAATAGAGATTAACCACAAAGTTAGGATCTGAGCTAGATTCTGATTCCAAACATCCCAATGTCTGTGAACATTTGGATGCAGAGTTTTCCTTCTGGCATCTTTCCACTAAATACAAAAAATGTCTCTAGGATAGATTAGGTAGGTATGTTAAACACACACACACACACATAGCCACTACATGAGCACAGATGCAGAAAAGAGGATGACCTATCAGTCAGAAGGATCCAGCAACAAGCAGCTAACGTTAGGTTGGATTTTCAAAAATGCCTGATGGGAATTAGGCACCTAAGCACTTTTGAAAATCCTACTATAAAGCCTTTTCTACTCCCAAAGTTAAATGCTTCTACCTGGGACACAAACCCTATAGCCAAATTCTGCCATATGCTGACATTGGAGCCCGTGTACATCTCTAGATCCTGAACCTGCAACTGTGCATGCCTGAACAATCCTTGCTCACTGAGAAATCCTCGAATTTCAATGAAACTACATACATCAGTAAGGATAGCTTACATGAATGAGAGCTGCGAGACCAGGCCCCTGATTGGGAATCAACCAGTGAGAAAGGCAGAGCATCTGCACTTTGCCAAACGATGTGTACTCTACATGGGATGTGCTAATTTCCCTTTACTGCATTCTGGTTTATAAGGACAATGAAATGTAATGGGTAGTGGGCAACTTACAGCATTCGATGGGATTAGATGCCGCTTGCAAAGAGACTATTCTGCCACTGGATTCAGGGATGTGCACACGGAAGACAAGCCGCACCCTGGTGTTCTTCCTACCAATGTCCGTCTCCCCCTTCCGCAGTTCGATGTCCGCGTTCCTCAGCTTCAAAATCCCTGCACAGTCAATGCTGACAAACAAACAGAAAACATGTTGTGTATGTGTGTCAGTGTTTCTGCTCTCAAACATTTCAAAGACATTTGAAAGACAAAAGAGGGTTAAACCATTTTGCCTCAATGATTTTGAAGAAGCAAAGATAAGAGAAGCCCTGAACTCTCTTTCCTTTTGTAATGTAGGTATTACAGTTAAAATGTCCGAGGGTTTTCAGCAACATGACTAGGCAGTTGAGCATCTAATTTGGGATTGCTACGTGTGTGCGGATAGCTAGTTGCACACCTAAACTGTGCAGCAAGTGCAATGCTCAGATACTATGATGATTAACAGGGTATCAGTACCTAGATAGAGTAGATAGGATGTGTATGTAATCATGGTAACTGCACAATCAAATGAGACACACAATGCATGCACATTCTCCTGAAAATTTGTATGTACAAACTTAAAACTAAAATAAAATACACGATGTACTATAGGGGTTACAACATAGGAGTGGGTATCAGAATTCGAATTCCAGCTGTGATACTGGGCAACTTTGGCAAGTAATGTTCCTTCTGGGCACCATATGTAAGATAGTGATCACTCTTCCCTGCACTACAGAATTGTTACCAGGCATTTGAGATCCTCAGACTGTACTACTAAGTGTTGCAGGAAGCATGGCTATTAAAAAGGTATTTTAACCTCAGCTTTAAATGCAGGTTTTATTCGTATAAAGTTAACATCAACAGTTTGGAGACTTGGACCCAAAATCTGTTTCCTACAAAAAATATTTGGTCATGATAGTGGTTTATGATTTTTTGCCATGCATATTAGTTTATTATTGTAGGGTTGCTCATGAAGGAGTGGCAGTTTACCCTCATTTTGGTTGTAGGTTTGTTTAAAGCTTGGGATGCTGACTTTTATTTATTTATGTTGAGGTGGGAGGAGAGAAAGGGATGATGGAGCATTTGTTTCGGAAAAAAACAGAAGAATCATGTGGATTTTGCAGCAAAGTACAGTTTTTAAATAAACAGAGTAAGGTTTGAGCCTCTACCAACTTTGCCCATATCCATTTAAAATGGTGGACTATTCCCTTTCTCTAAACCATCCTATAGCTGTTTGGAACATATTCAAGCTGAAATTTAAGACTGGCTTTTCTGTTGCTCTATTTATATATTACAAATATAAGGGGAGGGAGCATGGCCTAGTAGAAAGAGCACTGGACTGAGGACTCAGGAGATCTGAGTTCTACTTCAGGCTCTGCCGCTGGGTGACCTTGAGCAAGAGGCTTCACCCCTCAGTTTTTCTACCTGAAAAATGGGAATAATGAGACTGATCTCCTTTGTAAAACACTTTGAGATTGACTGATGAAAAGTTCTATGTAACAGCTGGGTATTATTATTAGCATTGTACCTTTGAGATACATTGGCAAGGCTCTCTAGATTCCAAATCTACTCTCTTCAAAAAGGGAGACTTTGTGGATCGTAACATGGCTTGCCAAATTCTGCGTTCTCACCAGATGATGTACAGCTGATAAGATCTACCCGTAACCCCTAATCCACCCCACATATCATATGTCCCTCACCACGCTGCACAATATTTACACATTTCCTCTAGTTCATACCACTATTCATTGCTGCAGGGTTTCTCCCATCCCTGAAACACCATCATAAATTCTCCAAGCCCAAGTCATTCACACTGAGAACATTTATACCACTCTGGCATCGTAAAAGGGGCCTTACGTGGTATAAGTTATATTCACACCTAAAAATCTAGAACCTATCCCTAGCACAGGAAGTTGATTCATTTAAGTGATTCCTCTCCAAACAGCACATATAAATTAATTCTGCCTTATCTCACATAGTAATAAGAGATTTGCTGCAATAGCATCCTTACGTTGCTCTCATGTTGTTTTTGGGCTCCAGGGGGATCTCTAGAACTTTGGTGTTGCCTATGATTTTCTCATAGCTGGTGGTGGTAACAGTTTTGCCCGTAATGCGATGGACTTGATAGAAAGCATGAGGTTTAAGTATCCGTTCATCTGCTGTCCCAATGAAGATCTGAAGGCCCAGGGGTTTGTTCTCCATGTAACCATGAAGCTGTCAAGAAATCAAATCTATTAGCACATGTTGTACTCCCAGTGCCCTCAGTCATGTAGACATTAAGACATATGCACAACACTAAAAGCAGTTCATCTCAACTCGTGTAAATGGGATTTTTTTCCCCCAGCAGCATCTTCTGGAGACCTTGTTATACATGGAATACATCTAAGAAAAGATGAATGATTAATTATTCTTTGATTTTCAGTGGAGATAAGAAACCATATTGCCTCAGTATTGTTTTTGATTGCAATCTTTAAAAAAATCTGGGAAGTAACAGCGGAAGCTCTTGGCTGCTTGATTCAATCAGGCATTTTTGAAGCAGACAGACAGGAGGAGGGATACTGCTATTTTGCTCAGACTGGGTTTTGGAGCAAAGACCATCTTTTTGTTCTGTGTTTGTACAGCACCTAGCACACTGGGGTCCTGGGCCATGACTTGGGCTCCTAGGTGCAACAGCAAGACAGATAATAAAATAATAACAATAATAATAAACGAACACAAGTTTTTGAAGTACATTTGTTAAGAGATGAGCAAAACAGGGCTAGAATTTCTCTCTAGTTCAGAGACCAGGGAATATATATCTTTGTTTATTAACTTTAAAAATTATTAATCAAACCATTTGAAATTTCTCACATCACTGAAAATTAAAAACAGACATATCTACCACATAGCCAGGGATTTAGCTGAAAGGGAACTTTATGGCCTGAGGCATGCTAAATTTGTTTTCAATTACTTTGTCCGCATACAAAACCTTGATGAAGCCATACAAAGCAAACAGCACTGGAAGATCAGAGAACAAAACCATTAAGCTAATAGAATTCATGGCCAAAATCTTTTTTCTTCTTTTCACCAGTCAGCAGGAGGTATCTTTGCATAGAGTGATTAATTCACCCCCCTGGAAAGAGACCACATGCGGCATCAATGCATTGCTGGCAAACTCCCCTGGTATGGTAAATGTAAAGTAACACTCACAGTCCTCTGATACATTATGATTCACATAGCACATATTTGCCATGCATATGAAGACAGGATCCTTGTCCCAGAGATCTTACAACCTAAGGTCCCAATCTTGCAACCTTTACTCACATGAATGGTCTCACTGAAGTCAATGAAACTTATGTCCCAGAGAGTAAGGATCACTTGTGTGAGTAAAAGAGTTACTGGATCAAGCCCAGACACAGTTTGGTACAATACATTGACAACAGTTCAGATGTAAGAAGGCCTGTCAAGAAGGTGTGAGTAACAGTAGGGGGAAAATTAGCATGGGGAAATAGTTTTTACTTTGAGTAATGACCCATCCGCTCCCAGTCTTTATTCAAGCCTAATGTAATGGTGTCGAATTTGCAATTTTTTCCCCTACTGTAACTCACACCTTCTTGTCAACTGTTGGAAATGTGCCATCCTGATTATCACTACAAAAGTTTGTTTTCTCCTGCTGATAAATGATTATTCTTGTTATAGTTGGTATGGCAACACCCATTTTTTCATGTTCTCTGTGTATATATATCTTCCTACTGTATTTTCCACTGCATGCATCTGATGAAGTGGGTTTTAGTCCAGGAAAGCTTATGCTCAAATACATTTGTTAGTCTCTAAGGTGCCACAAGTACTCCTCATTCTTTTTGCTGATACAGACTACCACAACGACCACTCTGAATATAGGATCATCTCCCAAGGCCAAGGCGTTGCCCCAGCTTAATTTTTACTCTTCTTTCAACAAAGCAGAAAATACAAATCTGGATTTCAGGATAGAGACTGAAAGCTGAGAATGATTTATGATTAGAAAACCCTGACAGGATATTTTGGGGGGTATTATAAGGTGAGCTATTCACAATAAAACTCCCCCAAACTATATACAGATTGGACTGGAGAAAAACCAACTCTTTTGAGTCACATTTGCCACAAGGGGAAAGAGAAGCCAGACATGATGTGTACCTTTCCATATGCTATTTTGGGATTTTAAGATCCTATTTCTTTTAGTTTAAAAGGGTTTTTTTAAAAAAACAACTTTGCTTTTGCATAACTCTTATAATATTAACATAGTCAGACATGGGCTGGTTTGTGACCTGCGGAAATGCAAGGCACTTTGGCAGATAAACAAATAACATCATTCAGAAAACAAGGAGACTTTTCTTGTTTAGTTTGCGGCAGCAATTGGGTTTTATAAACAAAATGGAAATTTGTGGCATGATTTGACTCACCGTTTCATAAACAAGGTTCATTCATGTATTCTACATTGCATCTCTATATCAATATCAATTAAAAATGATGTCTATGTTTAAGTGCATTATGATTTTTAGAATTGCACACCCATAATTTTAAATGCAAAAACTCTGTGCATTTGCACGTACATTACCACTGTTGTGTGTATGTGTAGTAGAAGTCCAACAAGCCATTTGGAAACACAATTACCACACAAAATTGCAGTAACTGTGACCACAAATTAGGCAAGCAAATGAACATGAAATTTTGCTTATGCCATTCTAAACAAATGGACCAGTACATCTTACAAATGTAATACAGTGCACTCAGAATAAAGCCCATCACCTGAGACTCAAGGGGTGAATCCTTTAACATTGCTCAGTTACTGCAACTGAAAACTGCATGATAAACTTATAGTGTACATCAGTGATAGAGGGGTAAATTCCCTAGAGTGTTCCAAGTGTGCTCTCACATACATATTACATGTATTTGTGTCTATAGGGAATTTAGTCGGACCTTCTTTGAAATATATTTACTGACCTAAGTTTACATTGACAACCATACAGTTTATAAACAACAGAGATTTACCCCTTCAAAGACACCACTCGTATTATATTTGTTGTGAGATGTGAGTTGTAGCCCCTTTGTACAAATGGGAAACCTGATGATTTAAGTGATTTGCTTATGGTCACACAGTGAATTAGTAACAGAGGAGCTCCTAGCTCCCACGGCTATGCACAGTGCAGTAGATCACAGTAAAATAATTCGAAATGAATCTGGTATTCCAAGAATGAAGTTGTAACAATTGCTGACACCATTCCGCTCTGCTGGCCTTGCACTATTTATACGTCAGTATTTGTTACTTGATGTTTTTGTCTTCTTTAATTTGTAGACTTTTGGGGCCAAATTTGTAGTGGGCTTCTGTTTGGGCACCTGGACATTAGAAAATTACACACCTGGCTGCCTGTTGAATGCAGGCAAATTGTGATGAGTTTTGCACTAAGAAAAGTGGAGACACCTGCAAATCTTGTGGGCACCTTTTGGGAGGCCCACTGAAAATCTGGCCCCATGTGATAGAAGTGCAAGTTGCATGACAGAGTGAATGTCATGGGGAATTTTTGTTTCCCCTTCATCCCAGTAGAGCTTCTCCTAGTCTGAATTTGCAGGTCTTTCTCCCCTGGGGGGGGATACAGCTGCATCTTTAAAGTTGATCACATACATCTTCCTGTCTAGACAATGCAAGCCACTGCCAGAAGGAAAGTATAAAATAAGCGAATAAATTCACTGAACCTACTTATCAAAGATCTACAACCTATCCTGAAAGATGATCCCTCACTCTCACAGATCTTGGGAGACAGACCAGTCCTCGCTTACAGACAGCCCGCCAACCTGAGGCAAATACTCACCAGCAACCACACACCACACAACAAAAACAAAAAGAACAGGAGTACTTGTGGCACCTTAGAGACTAACAAATTTATTTGAGCATAACCTTTTGTGGGCTACAGCCCACTTCTTCAGATGTATAGAATGGAACATATAGTAAGGAGATATATATACATACAGAACATGAAAAGGTGGAAGTAGCCATATCAACTCTAAGATGCTAATTAATTAAGATGAGCAATTATCAGCAGGAGAAAAAAGACTTTTGTAGTGATAATCAAGATGGCCCATCTATTTCCCCATGTTAAGTATCCTCACACCTCTTGTCAACTGTCTGAAATGGGCCATCTTGATTATCACTACAAAAGTTTTTTTTCTCCTGCTGATAATTGCTCATCTTAATTAATTAGCCTCTTAGAGTTGATATGGCTATTTCCACCTTTTCATGTTCTGTATGTATATATATATATATATCTCCTTACTATATGTTCCATTCTATGCATCTGAAGAAGTGGGCTGTAGCCCACGAAAGCTTATGCTCAAATAAATCTGTTAGTCTCTAAGGTGCCACAAGTACGCCTGTTCTTTTTGCGGATACAGACTAACATGGCTGCTACTCTGAAACCTGCCAGTTTTGTTTGCTTGAAACTAATCAGCTCTCTTGCTCATTTCAGTTCACCACAACCTGAGGGCTGGTCTGTTAACTGTTGCATATTACTTGCCATCTCCCTGTGGAAGTCATTTCAGCTTCCCTCTGAATGAGATGCGTGCATGTGTGTGTGTGTGTGCGCGCGCGCGCTTGCGGTCAGCTTTTAAAATAATGCACTGGTGATTCAGAGAGATATTCATCAGCCTCTGGTGAAAAATTTGGAAAACAGACCTGTGCTGGTTACATTCAATTAGAAGTAAATACAAAGCAGCGTGAGAAATCGCTTCCGCCTACTGCTTCCCTTTTCCTGCTGTACACGAAAAGATAAGAAAACACTTAGAAGCTCTCTCCTAAGTTTACAAGGAGTAGCATAGGATTTCAGCTTGCAGCTCCCGCTAGCTCAAATTGGATCTGCATGCCTGCTAAATTCCATACTCCCCTTTTAGACATGGAGAGGGGTTTCCACGTGAAACCAATGGCTCTCAACATTTTTAACAATGAACTATTTCCCCATCCAAATTCTTCATCTTCCCTGTGTCTATTAAAATGCTCGGCTACATGAAAAGTAACATTAGGACACTACAGAGGAGACAGGGTGAAGATATACTTGTTTAGGTACCTCCTGCTTGCTTCACATTTTCTGTCTTGGCTGTTGAATTTATCTCCTGGGAGGAAGAATTTTACATTTGGTGTCTAATTACCTACTAATCATTAATTCTCTTAGACTGCAATGTTTCCAAGAATGCCTGCAGACCTTTAT